TGAGCCGGGAAAGGGACAAAACATCCACCGGGAGCTCGGAGCTGGGGGACCCTGAGCAGATTCAGGGTGCGGAGAAACCCCACAAATGCTCGGAATGCGGGAAGAGCTTCAGGTGGAGCTCGAACCTGCAGCGCCACCGGCGCCTCCACACCGGGGAAAAACCCTTTAAATGCGAAGAATGCGGAAAATGTTTCAGCAGCAGCTCCAACCGCAACTCGCACCAGCGCAGCCACAGCCGGGAGCGGCCCTACGAGTGCGGGGAGTGCGGGCAGAGCTTCCGCTGGAGCTGCTACCTGACGGTGCACCGGCGCATCCACAGCGGGGAAAAACCCTAYAAATGTAAAGAATGCGGGGAAAGTTTCCCCCGCAGCTCCGGGCTGAGCGTTCACCGGCGMATCCACACCGGGGAGAAACCKTAYGAGTGYGRGGAGTGCGGGCAGAGCTTCAGCACCGGCTCGCACCTCAGGGTTCACCGGCGCGTTCACAGCGGGGAAAAACCCTATAAATGTGAGGAGTGCGGGAGGGGGTTCAGCTGCAAGTCCAACCTGACGGTGCACCGGAGGAAACACAGCGGGGAGCGGCCGTATGAGTGCGGGGAGTGCGGGCAGAGCTTCACCGATAGCTCCGGGTTGAAAGTGCACCGGTTCAGCCACACGGGGAAAAAACCCTATAAATGCGGGGAGTGCGGGAAGGGATTCGGGACCAGCGCGCAGCTGATGAAACACCAGCGGGTTCACAGCGGGGAGAAACCCTACGTGTGCGGGGATTGCGGGAGGGGATTCACGCAGAGCTCCTCCCTCATCCATCACCGCCGCATCCACACCGGGGAAAAACCCTACAAATGTGGGGAATGCGGGAAAAGCTTCCGCGGCAGCTCCGATCTGCTGCTGCACCAGCGGATCCACACGGACGAGCGGCCGTTCCGCTGCCCCGAGTGCGGGAAGGGGTTCAGGCACAATTCCTACCTGGCCCGGCACCGGAGGATTCACACCGGGGAGAAACCCTACAAGTGTGGGGTTTGTGGGAAGAGATTCTCGGATCGTTCGGCTTTTAACCGGCACCGGCGGACTCACCGGGGAGGGGAGAGCTGAGGGGCTCCATCCTTCCTGGTCTTGGATTTCTTTGCATTTTTGTTTTTTTCCAAACACCCAAAATTGGGTAAAAATAAAGGTTTTGAGTAAAAGCGTGGTTGGGGTCAAGTCCTCACTGAGGGGCTCCATCCTTCCTGGACTTGGATTTTTTTGTATTTTTGGTTTTTTCCAAACACCTAAAATTGGGTAAAAAATAAAGGTTTTGAGTAAAAGCATGGTTGGGGTCAAGTCCTCACTGAGGGGCTCCACCCATCCTCGACTTGGATTTCTTTGTATTTTTGGTTTTTCTGAACACCCAAAATTGGGTAAAAAATAAAGGTTTTGAGCAAAAGCGTGGTTGGGGTCAAGTCCTCACTGAGGGGCTCCATCTGTCCTGGACTTGGATTTCTTTGCATTTTTTGTTTTTATTCCAAATACCCAAAATTGGGTAAAAAGAAAGGTTTTGAGCAAAAGCGTGGTTGGGGTCAAGTCCTCACTGAGGGGCTCCATCCATCCTGGACTTGGATTTCTTTGTATTTTTGGGGATTTTTTCTAAACACCAAAAATTGGGTAAAAAATAAAGGTTTTGAGTAAAAGCGTGGTTGGGGTCAAGGGGGGTAAGGGGGGTGTTGGGTTTGAGGGATTTTTTGGGGTTTCTGAGGTCTTTGGGAACCCCGGGCTGGGGATAAGGGGGGGTCACTCGGGGGGTGTTGGTTTTGAGGGATTTTTGGGGTTTCTGAGGTCTTTGAGGACCCCATGAGAGCCCGGTGGAGGAACAAGGTTTCCCCCTGCCCTGGACCCGTCCCCGTGTCCTCTTTGTCCCTGTTCTGTGTTCCCATTCCTGGTCCCACATTCCCGGTGTCATTCCCCTATTCCTGTTCCCAGTCCCGTTCCCATTCCCTGTCCCATTCTCTATTCCTAGTCCCAGTCCCAGTCCCATGTTCCCATTCCCGATCCCATTCCCTATTCCTATTCCTGGTCCCATTCCCGGTCCCGTTCCCATTCCCATTCCCAGTTCCATTCCTGTTCCCGATCCCATTCCCTTTCCCATTCCCGGTCCCATTCCCAGTCCCTGTCCCGTTTTCCTATTCAATATCCCACATTCCTTATCCCATTCCCGGTCCCATTCCCTATTCCTATTCCCGTTTCCGTTCCCATTCCCAGTCCTCTGTTCCCATTCCCTGTCCCATTCCCATTCCCTGTTCCCATCCCTGATCCCATTCCCCTTCCCGGTCCCATTCCCTATTCCTATTCCCGATCCCATTCCCGTTCCTATTCCCGGTCCCATTCCCGTCCCCATTCCCATTCCCGGTCCCGTTCCCGGTTCCATTCCTGTTCCTGATCCCATTCCCGGTCCCATTCCCATTTCCTGATCCCATTCCCGGTTCCATTCCCTGTCCCATTCCCTATTCCTATTCCCATTCCCGTTCCCATTCCTATTCCCTGTACCGGTCCCATTCCCGGTCCCTGTCCCGTTTTCCTATTCAATATCCCATATTCCTTATCCCATTCCCGGTCCCATTCCCGTCCCCATTCCCATCCCCATTCCCGTCCCCATTCCCGGTCCCATTCCCGGTCCCATTCCCGTCCCCATTCCCGTTCCCGGTCCCATTCCCATTCCCGT